TTTCCTCTCTCTGGCACTTTTTCTCACCTCCCCTGGGGATTTCTGGATCCCAGCGGTAAATTGTGCTATTGTCTCTGACTAATATGTTTGGGCTTTAATGAGTGGAGAGAGCTAGATTCACTGGGAGATTAAAGAGAGCAAACAGGAGATTTAAAGAAAACAAACAGGAGATGAAAGGAAGCCCAGGGATGCTTCATTGTCCTGCGCAATTACCAATTACTGCCGCTTAACCTCTACTTGTGGGGCAGTGGGGCTGTTGGACCTTATGTGTGACCACCTTAGCCACACAATCCTCCCACTTGGTGGATGCACTTCTGTGGTCTTGAATACATTCACACTTGTGCAGCCATCTGCCCTGTCAATTTTGGAACATTTTCGTTATTCCCCAAAGAATCTCCATCCTCTCCTTCTCCTCCAGCTCCCGGCAACCACTGATCTATGATTTTTGTCTGTGAGGATTCGCCTATTCTGGGCATTTTAGATCAATTGAACTATGCATTTCATGGCCTTTTGGGCCTGGTCCTTTCACTGAGTGTGACATTTTCCAGGCCCATCCGCGTTCTAGCAGGTACCGGAGCTCGAGTCCTTTTTGTGCTGGGGTAATCATCCTTGCTCAGTGGGGTGTGCTGGGGTGTACCACATTTGGCTTATTCATTACCGCCTGGATGGGCCTGGGGACCCGGAAGCAGAGAGAAGCGAGGGGTGGGGACAGAGGTGCACCCTTCTGTGTCACGGTCCCAGTGGCCCACCTGCTAACAGCTCGTTCAGCCTCAAACTCATCCGGGGATGACAGAGGGAGTACAGCACTCTCGTGATCCAGCTGCCTTGCAGGCACACAGGAATTGTGGGGGGCATTTTAGGTCTGGCCTTGTATTGCTGGTTTCCAGTTTGGGCTTTTCTGAAGACCTCTGACATGGACATTTGTATACACATGCTCCTTTCTTCTTGGGGGTGTGGCACGGCTGGATTTTGTGACAGCTCTTCATTGCGTATTTTGAGGAGCTCGTAGATTTTCCCCAGGTGGCTGTGCCTTTAATGTCCCCACCAGGGACTTCTAAGGGCTTGGTTTTTCTGGTCTTTGCCATCTACCTCTGCCTCTCAGGTCGCCCCGCCATAGTGTGGACCCAGCGCTATCTCTTGGTGGAAGTTATGCTCGTGTCTCCCTGGTGTCCCACGGCCAGTGCACCTTGGAGTGCACGTTTTTTGTGACTCTGGTCCAGGTAGACGGGTGTTCTTTGCAGTTCACGTGCCATGAAATACAGACTGTGAGGTTCAAGTTTGAGAAGCTTGGAGATGTGGCCTACGATGCCGATGGAATACAGGACTTCCATGTAAACGTGAATTTCTTTGAAAAAAGAGTTCTTTTTTGTGTGTGCAGTCTGACACCTGAACTCAGAGCCTTCTCAATGAGCAACAACTCTAACCCTTTTTAGGTTATTTTATTTAATTCTTTTTGAAATAAGGTCTCACTGTGTAGTTCAGACTGGCATTGAACTAACTCACTACAGCATGGCCTCAGATTCTTGGTGATTCTCCTTTCTCAGCCTCCTGAATGTTGTAGTGATAGTCATTCACCACAGTGCTCAAAAGGGTTTGAGACAGTCTCACTAAGCTGCTAAATTGTCCAAGCTGGGCTTGAAATTGCGATCCTCCTGCCTCAGCCTCTTGGAGAGTCCTTATAGGCAAGTAGCACCACAGTTGGCTGTACAAAGAGCAGCTTTTAAGGTTCAGTATATTCCAAGTAGCACATGGGATATACTTATCTTAAAAGATTCATTATTTTAGAAAAAATCTGAAATTCAAATGTAATTGCTAAATCTGGCCACCCCGCCTGTTCCCCATGGCTGTGCACACTCAAGAGGCAGAGCTGGCCTCTTGAGGGCTGGGCTCTTCTGTAGGTGTGGCTGGGGCTTCTTGGGCGGTGTCTGTGATGCAGAGTGGATGCCATAGATGTGGCGGGGACCGGTGTCCTTGTACCCTTGCATCTGCCTTCTGACCTGGGCTTGGCTTCTGTGGGGTTCTGGTGGGTTTTGACCAGGGACAGCAAATGTCAAGAGATGGTGGCCGTTTCTGAGTTGCTGGGTACAGGGCTTCCTCCCCTCCCTCCCAGGGAGCGAGTGTGTGGCTGAATCTATCCTGTGAGCACAGTGACTCTCTTCTCCTGGAGCCATTGTTTGCTTTTGCAATTTCTTCCTGATTTGTGCTGCTTTGGTGGGTGGTTTGCGGGGTGGATTTCTAAGAAGATCTTCTTGGGAACCATCTGTTTGCCTCAAAGATAACAGATGAACTCAGCAGGAGCTGTGTGCTAAGCCTTATATTCCAGAGATGGGTAGAGAGAAAGAGAGAGGGAGAGGGAGAGAGAGTATGCTATGTCTAAAGAGTTTGATTCTGACAGATGTTGACTGACATTTAAGGGGCACAGAGATGGGAAAGACCCAAACAGGCATTCACAGGAGAGGCAGTCAGGGAGGGCTGCCTGTAGGGGGAGATATTTGAACTGAGCCCTGAAGCATGATTGACAGGCAGTGTTTAGAAATAGGGACTGAGGGTAAAGGACTTGGCCAGGAGAAAGACTGACCAGCTCAGAGAGGACTGTGTCACTGTGTCTCGGGGGCATCTACCAAATAGCACCGTTGGTGTGAACAGAGCCTTGCTTGATGCCTGGTGTTGCCTGAGGCTCTGTTCTGTGTGACTTTTTCTGTTCCTGCTCACGGGGTGTGTGACAGAGGGTGCCCGGAGTCCTGGAGTTGGGCAAGAGTGGCCAGCTGGGCTGTGTAGTGTGGCTCAGGGGCAGAGCTGGCCTCTTGAGGGCCAAGATTGTGCCGTGAATGATCAGAGAGAGCCATAGCGGGTGTCAGAGCTGGGAGGCAAGCGCTGGAGGTGGAGGAGCCAGTCGGGTGTTTGTGCAGCGGGCACAGAGCGAGCTCGCACTCCCTAGGAAAGCGCTTGCCACACCCAGGTGAAAGGTAATTAAGACTGAATTTTCAGCCAGGCGGCCGGCGGGGCAGCCCGGGAAGTAGAGTCAGCCAGGAGCAACACCAGCGTGTCGTCCGTCCCGGATGTGGGTGCCTCTCTCTCCGCGGGTCATTTCCTGAAGGTCTTCCTCGTGGCCGTGGCCCCACAGGGACACTGGCTCCTTCCCTAGCTGCACCTGCCTGTTGCTCAATGCCTCTTAATCCTATTGTCCCTGCTGCGTCAGAGCCAAGCAGCGATGGATGATGTTGAGGCTTCCACGGAGCCTGCCAAGGGAATTATTTTCTTTGCCTTTCAAAAGTAGTAATGTGGGCCTGGGTGCTTTGCAAGGAAGGCTGATTCCTGGGGCCACCGCAGGGTCTGAAACTCGAGGCCAAGTCACATACCCACGAGGCCCGCCCTGTCCCTCTTCCTTGTTTTGGTTTCTAAATTTGTTTCTAAACCATTTCAGTGGACACAAAGCCCTGGCACAGATTGGTGTGGCTCGCTGTGATAATTTCATACACGTTCACAGTGTGTATGGGATCAAATCATTCCTGACATTTATTAGTTCTTTGTGGCAAGACTGTTAGAAATATCCCTCCTTGCTATTGAGGAACATTGAAGTGCGATGGAAAACTTTAGTGAATATTTAAATTTAAAAATTGGTATAATAGCCCGGTGTGGTGGTGCACGCCTGTAATCCCAGCACTGGAGAGGCTGAGGCAAGAGGATCATTGCAAGTTTGAGGCCAGCCTGGGCTACAAAGCGAGCTCAAGGTCAGCCTGAATTGCACAGTGAGACCCAGTCTCAAAAAGACACACAGACACACACACGCACATACACAAATTGTTATAATCAAAGACATATTGCCATGAATCCTTCTCAAAATCCTCTCCTTTGCTTCAAGCACCCCTGTCCACCCTTTCTGCCTCTTTCTGCAGCAGTTCTGGAAGTGGTTTTTCATGAGTGTCTTTCGGTTCCAGTGTGGTGGCTGCCTTGGTGTCCTGAATTGATTCAAAACATTTCCCTGTGAGGGTCATTTTGACCTGGGGGATGAGCCAGAATCAGCCGCAGCCACATCCAGTGAATAATGGTGGCGAGGGCACACTGGGATATTTTTAGGAGCCTGCCCTTCTCCGGGGCGGCCCTTGGGAGCAGGTGTATTTCCTGCCCCATCTTGTAAAGACACTTTCTGGAGAGGACTTGCAGAGCTGCTGCAGAAAACTCTCTAAGAACCATGGGCACAGTGTGTTTGGAGCCATGGGGAGGAGTTGGAGGGGCTGAATGGCAATGTGTGGTTCACTGTGCTGCTGAAAAAAAAATTTTGAATGCTCAGTTGAGCATTCAACTGAGTAATTTGATCATCTCTTGCACAATGCAGTGTCATTCGCTGGACACCCAGTCCAGCGAGCTAGCACAACAGCACCGGGTCCTTCTGTCTGCTTGTAACCCCGTGCCTCTGGCCGCCCTCTCTCCTCCTCCTTCCCCACCTCAGCCTCTGGTACACTCCACCCTGCTTCCTAGTTCTGGGAAATCGGCCTTTGTAGGTTCCGCATCCGTCCTTCCCTGCCATGGCACGGAAGTCACCGCGTTCGCTGCTGTGTGGCTGCGAATGTCAGGGTTCCGTCCCTTGTGGGGCTGCGTCTTCTCCCCTGGCGTGTCTGGGCCATGTCTCTTTCATCCGTTCATCTCCTGGCGGACTTTCTGGTCTGATAGCCATTATCAGAAAGTCACTAAATAAAGGCAGGTGAGAAGAGGAAGGGTGGGGGACAGAGACAGAGTCAGTGGATGGTGGCTTGGGACTGGCCTTAGTGGGAAGCACTGTGGACCTTCCTCAAAGCCCAGAAAATGCAATTACTGTAGGGTGCAGCAGGCCCGGTCCTGTATTGTGTAGCTAAGGACCAGGAACAGGAGGTCGGGAGGTCGGAGGGTCGGGAGAGGGAGGACACCGCTCCCTCCCGGGAGTGTGAAGCTGCCTTCAGGGTCCTGGCCTCCTGGGCTGTCTGCTCACCCGTGTCCCTGTCTTCTTCTCCTCCCACGCACAGTGTGTCCGGGCATGGACATCCGGAACAACCTCACCAGGCTGCACGAGCTGGAGAACTGCTCCGTCATCGAAGGCCACTTACAGATCCTCCTGATGTTTAAGACGAAGCCAGAAGACTTCCGTGACCTCAGCTTCCCCAAGCTTGTGGTGATCACCGACTACCTGTTGCTCTTTCGGGTCTACGGGCTGGAGAGCCTCAAGGACCTGTTCCCCAACCTCACCGTCATCCGGGGCTCCCGCCTCTTCTTCAACTATGCGCTGGTGGTCTTCGAGATGGTGCACCTCAAGGAGCTGGGCCTCTACAGCCTCATGAACATCACGCGCGGCTCCGTGCGTATCGAGAAGAACAACGAGCTGTGCTACCTGGCCACCATCGACTGGTCGCGCATCCTGGACTCCGTGGAGGACAACTACATAGTACTGAACAAGGACGACAACGAGGAGTGCGGGGACATCTGTCCGGGCGCCGCCAAGAGCAAGACTCATTGCCCCTCCACGGTCATCAACGGGCAGTTTGTGGAGCGATGCTGGACCCACACTCACTGTCAGAAAGGTATGCGGCGGGGGCGCAGGGCGGGGTCCCGGTTCTCCTGTGCCTTCTTGAGGCTTAGTGGTGGGGGAGTAGGGGCTGGGGATAGTCACAAGCCGAGGGGACACGTGCTGTGCAGGGCCTCAGTGGTGGACGCTTTGGGCTTTAGTGCCCTTTATCCAGGAGGCAGCGGCGTCCAAACCTTTCCTGCTCCAGGGGCCAGTTGAATGTGGGGCAGTTTCTCCACGCGGGAGGTGGGGATGTGGTCACAGGACAGTTCCATGGAGCTCACACACCTTGGTCGTTTGAGTATGCAGACTATAGGGGTCGTTTCCTACAGGGTCATCAGGGAGTGCCTGGAATACAGATGGGTCCCTTGGTCAGCCCAAGTCCACCTCCTGCCGTGTGACTGGGGTCCTGACAGACCGGGGACTGGAGACCCGGGAACTCCTGCTGCCTCAGGTTGCCTGAAGCCACCAACAGCGCCACACCCTGTGTGGTTTCTTCTCTTGCATCTGTACTGGGGGGCGTTTAATTTATAAAGCAAGCACGGGGAGAAATGGGCAGCAGTGACTGAGGGTTCACTAGAACCCAGAGAGTAATATTCTAGGACAAGACAGCCCGAAACCTCAGGCGCTGCCCCATGGGACTGTCAACCTGATAACCTTGATGGCTACTAAGTTTCCAAAAGGTGGACAAAAAGATGATTCATGGTCCAGGTGGGCCAGGGCAGGGTGGTTTGAGATCCTGCAAGCCATAGCACGCCGTGAAAACTTGTTTATTTCTGGGATTTTTCCATTCAGTATTGTCTGAAAATACTGAATGGAAAAATCCCAGAAATAAACAAGTGGACGGTGGGTAGCTGAAGTCCTAGGAAGCAAGACTTTGGAAAGGCAGAGGCCACTGCTTTGAATCCACCATTGCACTGGGCAGGGTGGCTACAGCCCAGCGTAAGCACATGGCAGGGGGCCGTGCCTCAATAAAACTTTATTAACACAGACAAACTGGGGCCCAAGGGCTCATTAGTTGCTACTCCCTAGGCCAGATAATGAATGCCCTGTGTTCGCTCTTGCTTGAGAGAGGGAAATGAGTTTTAGAGCATGCATTTATTTTCCATTGAAAAACAAGTCTATTTTTATCTGAATATTAAAAACAAAACAAAACAAAAAAACCAAAATGGCCACAATAGACATTTGGAGAAAGAGAGCTACATAGAAAGCAGAACCGGGAACCTTGAGGGTCTCAGGTTTATTAGGGATGCTTCCTTCTAGAGAGTCCTCAATGGCTCTGTTGTGTGTGAGCATCTTTAACCTTCTCTGGGGTCACGTTTGGAACCTTTCCAGTTTCCACCAAGGCACTCCGGGGTGCAGGCTTTATCTAGTGTTTATTTCTTTGGGCCTGTTTTCCAGAAATGCAATTTCTGGGTCAGAGGCTCCGGCTGGTGATTGCCACATGGTTCTCTGGAAATATTGCACCCATGGCGTGGCTGGCCGGGTCAGGCCACTCCTCCTTGTCGCCTTGGACTTGGAGGGGCTACTCCCTGGCCAGCCTGGAGTGTTGTTTGCAAACTCTTTCTTTCATAATTCATAATTTACTGGGTTCTGGGAGGAGGCCCTACTGCAGTTGAGATGGTTTCTATTTGCATTTCTCCGATTGCCTTTGGAGTTGTACCTTTTACAATAGGTTTGTTTATGTATCATTTGCATTTGACCCAGGAACCTGTCTCACCTCCCTCCCTCCATCTCTTGGCCACCTACCCCATGAGAAAGATCCATCTCCCTGCTACCCATTTTTTAAAATTTTTTTATTTTATTTTTATGTTTTGGTACCAGGGATCGAACTCACAACCTTGCCCTTGCCAGGCAGGCACTTGTGCCGCTGAGCTAAATCCCTGGGCCCTGTGATCCATCTTTTACTCTGCTCTTTGTCTGGGAAGTCTCCACTGTTTGCATTTATGGATCAGTTCTGTCCCCAGGCCTTGCTCAGTGGCTCAAAGGCGCAGGGTTTTGCTTCTGCTTTCTGTACCCGAGGTACAAAGCCTCTTTGTGCCCTTCAGAAAAATTTCCCTGCCAGGTTTTAATTATGATTGTTAAAAAGCAAACAAACAAACTTTCATCCTCAACACTTGGGGTCTAGTCCTGTGTGTGCGCGCGCGCCCGTGTGTGTGTGTGTGTGTGTGTGTGTGTGTGTGTGTGTGTGTGTGATTTGCTTGAATAATGAATTGGGGGTCTCAGTGGTATTTATGGCAGAAATCACCCCAGCATCACTGCTTCGGGGTCCCTTGCTGTCTCTCTTGGAATCCCGGATGTTACCGTTCTGAGCGTGGCTTGGGAATGCTTTCCTGTCCAGACAGGCAGTCCCACACACACAGTCATGCTTTAGCGCTTTATTGGCCCCTTCCCCACGCTGTAAATTCCCTGGGAAGAGCTAGTGGAGGTGAGAAGGGGGTGGGGGAGAGCCAGAAAGCTGCAGGTTTTAGGGTTGCATCACAAAAGATAGGGGAGGGGAGAAAGGAAGGTCTTTTCACTGACACACAAGGGGGCCCAGGAGAGGGAGGTGGGGTGAAGAGCAGAGCTTTGTAGAGCTGGGAGGCGGTGGTGATCCAGGAGGCCAGGGGGCCAGGGGGCCGTAGATGTGGGAGGCAGGGTGGCATGCGCTCACAGCGGGGTGCAATACTGTAGCGGGGACCTGCTATGTAAGGAGGTGTGCACTTATCCTCCTGGCAGGGGCCAGAGAGGTTACTTAGGTTGCCCCAGGCTACAGCTAATAAAATCAGGGCTGGGCCTTGATCCAGACATGTGCACGTGCACACACAAAACATTACTATTATTATTATTTTATGGTGGTGGTGGCAGGGTGGTCCACTCTGTTTTAGGAATGCCAGAGCTGCTTTTCTCAGGGCACTAGTGCAAAGAGCAAAGTTAACCCGGCATGGTGACATGCGCATAATAAGCCTGGTTCTTCGGGAGGCTGAGGCAGGAGGATCACTTGAGCCCAGGAAGTTCTAGGTCCTCCTGGGCAGCATAGTGAGACTGCCTCAAATGAAACAAAGTAAGACAGATTAACCCCAAAACAACACATAGTCAAACAAAAATCCCAAACAACAACAACGATGAAAGAAACAATAGTGACAGATGAATTCTTCAGTCAGCACTGATGTCTCCAAAGTTAGGTGCTTGTCTAAGATGTTCGATGTCTTGAGACAGAATTTAAGCTGTTCCTACGTGCGTTTATTTCTGCATCTATTTTAGCCAAATGCCCAGCCTAGAGCTGCCTGTGGTTTGGTCTCCTGGTCTCTGATGTGCCCAGGAGGTGTTTTTGGAAGTGTTTATGTTCTTTCTCATCTCTCTACATTTGTCCCGGGGTGGGGTGGGGGACAGTGCGGTCCCAGTGTTTCCTGGGGACCCGGGTCCTCCTGCTCCGGGGCCTGGCGTGTGGCCTCTTGTCTGTTCCCCGTGTCAGGACCCTATTGCAGTTTGAGCACCTACCCATGTGTGTTGAGTTCAGCTCAGTCCTGCCTTTGGGTTGCTGTTTTTTTTTTGCATCTTTGTTTTGAGACAGGGTCTCGTTCCATAGCCCAGGCTGGGCTTGACTTTGTGGCGACTTTGTCCTGCCTCAGCCTCCCAAGCCTCGGTCACCACGTATGGGTTTTTGCCCTTGTCCTGCTTTTTAAACTCAGTTTCTTTATTGTAAATTATACATCATGTGAAAGTCACCACTGACCCCACGTCACATGCACAGAGCACCACCACGTGGCACCTTCCTCTGCTGTCTAATTATCCCCAGCTGTAGTACTTTGTTATCTCCCCTGGCTGAAACTGGCACTATTCAGCTCCCTGCTTTGGGGTCTGGACAGTAGGAACCACTGGGTAGTGGCATCCTGCCCTGTGTGTCCTTCCTGTCCATCCCATCCTCGGGAGTTCCCCCATACTATACCACATGTCCTGATTTCTTTCTTTTTCACCGCTCAATACTATTCCATCCAGCCTTTGAATGCTTGGGTTACTTCCGTGTTGCAGCAGTGCCGGGTCTGGCTGCTGTGAAGGTGGCCGTGGCTTTTAAAATGTTTATGTTGACCTTGTGGCCGTGGCTTTAGGAGGCTTCTTTAATATCTGCTGGGATTTTAAAACAAAACAGATCAACAGGAGCCTTTAGAAAATGTTCCTTGTTAGAAGACAGAAGTAGACCAAAGAAAGGTGGGCACCTTGGCTACCGTTCCTTTCCAGTTAGCTTTCCAAAGCATGCAGGGAGGCTCCTGGTTTTCAGGATCAGGGCTTGGAAGGCACTGGCCCTGGGCCTTGGGGCTGCCAAGGTGCAGACGCCCTGAATGGGATCGAAGAGTCACACAGGGAGGGCATGGTCTTAGGAGGCAGGACAGTGCTGGGGCTGGGTCTCCTTGCGGCCCCAAAGCTCAACCTCGTTGGAACTCTTTTTCAGGTGGTTATGGAGGGGCTGAGACTCAGGAAGCACTGGCCTCCTGCTCTGTCTTGCTGTTTACAGGTTGCAAAATGGATCAAGTCTCAGTTTCCCTCTGAAAAATGGGGATCCTGAGAGACTTGTCTCGTAGTGTTTGGAGCTTAAGTGAAATTTTGTGGAGGCTCAGTCAGTGCCTGGCACGGCACGAGCTTTTTGTGGGTTCGGCCTTGTTGGGTGGCCCAGCTGCTGGGCGAATGCTGTCCCTTTTCTGACTTTGGTCTTGGGACAGACAGAGGCCATCTTCCACATACCTGCTGATGCGGTGGGCACCGCAGCCAGAGCCCCCAGGGGAGACCACCCCGATCCCTGGGTGGCGGAGGTTAGCATGGGCTGGCATCTCCACCGCTGGGCGCTTTGAGGGACCAGAAGCCACAGCCCCTGCCTGACCAGCTGCTCTGGCCAAACCCACCAGCATTCGCTTTCTGGGAGGTCTTTTCTGCTGCTCCCCGCGGGTCAAAAAGAGGGGTGAGGCCAGGGGCCTCGGGTGCCAGGGGCACTGGTCAGCAGTGCCACAGGCAGGAAAGTGTGTGTGGGGGATGGAAGTGGGG